AGACATCGTTCGTGAAATTACTTGGAAGGAAAGCACATTATTTTTACAGCTCTACTCAAATGGTAGCACCATGTTCAGCATCAGCACCAAACACCCAAATGAGAATCCAAAGAGACATCCACCTAGTAGGAAAGAAACAAGCAAATGCGAAGATAAACTATTACAAGAAATGAAGCATACACATAGAAATCACAGGCTACCTGGAACCTCTGCCCTAAGACCAGAAAGAAAGCTTTCCTACTACCAGAATAACGACTGCTGAACCCACTTAACTAAACTGGATTTATGACTCGATGGTCAGAAGCAGTTAGCTGGCCATATAATAATCACATACCAACATTTCACTGCCATAAAGAATTCTGCTGAAAGCCAGAAGTAATAATTAAGGTGCACTTTGCCTTATTTATACAGCAGCTAAGTTCCTAGAAAGTCACACAAAAACTGAATTTTTGATCATCAAATTGTTTATATTCACTAGAAGAGCTGACCAAAAGAATTCACTCCCCAGTATCTTTTATAAAGCCCAAGTTTCCCACATATCAGACTTGCTTACAGTGAAATGAACCCCCCATACCTATAGATGTAACTCATTTAACTTTCCACCAGGTTAGAGTACAGTATTCCCAGCACCCTCTTTAACAACTAACTACATTTCTCAAACCATATTTCAATTTTCAGGTTGAATCTGTCTCTTCCCTCCTCCTCCGCTCAGGGTTCTCTATTTCTATACTGTTCTCAGGGCTGTGCTAACCCCTCTTCTGTCCACATAAGGCATCTGGATACTGCCCTTGAAAGGCACAATCCTTCCTCTCTGTCCCCCATAGTTCCTTCTTAGCCAAAGGATTATAACATAAGCACCACAGACTCTCTCATGTCCTCTCTGCCCTGCTTTGGGAAGTAATGATTTACTCCAAAAGCTTCCTGGCTGTAACTCAACAGGGTTCAGCTTTGAAATCTATAGCTTCGCGTTGTAGTTCCATTTAGTAAGCAGCCTTGGGAAATTAACCCCAGGAAAGGACTTCTTTCTGTAAAAAAGGTTAATCCTTTGACACAGAGAAGATTGAAGAATTTCATAAACTCTCACCCCTGAATTTCATGATTTTTTCCATCACTTAATCATTTGTGAAAAGTAAATTTCAACTTCACAGGCACTGAGCACTTACTATGTACCTAAACCTGTTAGGTATTACAAAGGATAGAACAAAGAAAATATAGTTTGTCTTCTAGAAGCTTACAGTCTCACTAGGGAAACAAGAATAAAACAACACAAGATGATGCATAATTAAGCATCAATATAAGAGGAGGCCAGAGGAGAGTCTGACTGGTATGAACGAAGTTGTCAGCAAAGGCTTCCTAGAAGGAGCTATGACCTCAGAAAAACTCCATTTATGTTAAGCTATAAGAAAACAAAAAACAAAAAACATGTGCTTTAAAACCAACCCTTATACTAAAAAGGTTGGCTACTCTAGATTTTTTTTTTTAAGATTTTATTTATTTATTTGACAGACAGAGAGACAGCGAGAGAGGGAACACAAGCAGGGCGAGTGGGAGAGGGAGAAGCAGGCTTCCTGCCAAGCAGGGAGCCCGATGTGGAACTCGATCCCAGGACCCTGGGTCCATGACCTAAGCCGAAGGCAGACGCTTAACAATTGAGCCACCCAGGCATCCGCTACTCTAGATTTTTTTAAGTGCCTATTTGCATAGGGCCTACAGGCATTTCTACCCAGCCAGGATCATCTCCTAAGACTGTCTCTCCCCTGCTCCTTCTGCTCCAGCCCCACTGGCCTCTTGTTCTCAAACATATCAAGTGCACTTCTTTCTCAATGCCCCTGCACCCACAGTTCCTCGACTTAAACCCCTTTCCCTCAGATTATCTGAACGATCCATTCCCTCCTTCACTTCATTCTAAGGTAACCCATCAGAGAGGCCTTTCCTAACCATCTTCACTCTCCATCCCTCTCCCTGCTTTATACTTTTTCTTGGCACTTACCACCCCCTAATAACAGTTGATTTCTTTACTGTCTCTTTCCATGAGATTATTAGTTACATGAGAGCGTAGTCTTTGTTTATTGCCATGTCTCCTAGGCTCTAAAACAGAGCCTGGCACATGGCAGCTGCTCAATAAACATTAGTTAAATGAGTATTAAATATCCTACCGTTATTATCAGAAGGACATAGCAAAGCACTAGAAGTGTGGGTCACCCAGTGTTAAGTTTCATCTTTTCAGAAACATTACTTCTCCTTTACTCAGATTATACCTCAAATTTCAACCTTCCCATTAAGCCTTCCTTGACCATTTCAGCAGGAATGACCATCTCCTTCTTCTGGACCCAATGGCACAAATCCTCAGCATACTTTGGCTCTAAATTATGCAGTGACTTGTGACATGCATCCACCCCATGGTATCTCCGCTCCTGTTCCTCTGGAACTTACACACACACACACACACACACACACACACACACACACACAACCACACAACCACACATATACACATGCGTGCTCTTTTTTTAATTTTTCACCCATTTTTGTCTCTCCACCCAGACTGGAAACACCAAACACCTTAAGGTCAGGGAACTTGATATATTTTTTAGAAGATGATTTAGAAATCATCCTGTACAAACCCTTTACTTTACAACTAAGGAAACAGAGGCCCCCAAAAGAAGGGATTTTCCCAGAAGCATATAGCTAGTTGAAGGCAGGAGGCTAGATCAATGATGATTTGAATACCTGTGTGACATGGTGTGCCAGAACTACAGCAATGAGAATGCATAACCTGAAAAATAAATAAAGATCCACAAATACACAGAGTGAGAAAAAGATTCTCTGTGGGATAGTTCTAAGTTGCCCATTTGTACCCAAAGGGCCTCATCCACTCCTTCCTCTGCATACTCCAAAGTCCCTATACACTGCTCTATTTCCAAATACTACTATCCTTAGCCAATTTGAAGGCAACCAGCAAATAATGGGCCCCAGGAGGAGAAGGAGAGGAAAGGGAGGGGGGTGTCTGTTAACCGTGATTGAGAGAAACAATGAATGAATACAGACATACACAGATTTACACACACACACCAAGCAGACAGTGCTCACCAGCACCCACATCCAGTTACCTCTTCTGATCAGCCAATGTTAATCCACCTCACCTCAAGTCTCCCCATGTTCCTCAATATTTTTTCCATGGCCCTGAGCTTTTACTACTCACAATCCCTCTGCCTGACAAGAGTTCTGATGGAGAACAAAAGCAGGCAAACAAAACAAAAGAATTCAAAAATAAACAGCAAGAGGGTCACTTTACCCAAATCAACACAAGTAACTGAGTGGCCTCTGCAAAGGAGACCCATAAGCACACAGCAAATATGCCACGCTTAAATACAGCTCGGTCTCTAACACAGGAAGTCAGGCAGAGCCTTGAAAAGCTGGGAGCAGAGCACAGGAAGTCTTTTAGCACTGCAGGGATTTCCAAGAGTGGTGTAATGGAGAGAGCACAGGAATAGGAATTAGAAGACTAGGCTTCTAGTTCTAGTTTTGCTACCAGCTAACTGGGTGGCCTTAGGCAAGTCACTAGTCTTCTCTGGACTTTTGAGCCCCCATCTCTAAAAGGTGGTGGTTAAAACATTTTGAGACTTGAATCCCCTCCAAAAAACAAAACAAAAAGAAAAACCCACAAAGACAAAAACTACTGACTTCCCCCCCACCACCAAAAAGTACATGTAAACTGTTCAACATAAGAATCTTCCAGGTCTAGGGGCGCCTGGGTGGCTCAGTTGTTAAGCGTCTGCCTTCGGCTCAGGTCATGATCCCAGGGTCCTGGGATCGAGCCCCGCGTCAGGCTCCTGCTCAGCGGGAAGCCTGCTTCTCCCTCTCCCACTCCCCCTGCTTGTGTTCCCTCTCTCGCTGTGTCTCACTCTGTCAAATAAAAAAATATTAAAAAAAAAAAATCTTCCAGGTCTATCCAGATGAAGAACCCCTGAAAAGATGTTGTCTCTGGTCCCTTCTATCTCTAACATTCTATGATTCTAGGAGAATTAGGCAGGTCTCTAAACAATTGCTGATATGTGAGCTCCACCATTTCACAGCAACTATTTTCTGAACAGAGACCAAATCCTAAAAGGTCCGAAGGTTTCAGCTCTTCTTCAAACTACAAAGCCAACTGACATCATCACTACCTTTCCCCCTCCCTACCCAAATCAACCAGCTTATCCTTGAGTCCACAACTCAGAATCCAGTCTCCCAACAGCCCTACAAATTGTCTTTTATATCCCAGGACCTTAAAGAGCGGGTCGGTATCCTCGGCCGTGTGAGAAGCAACTGGCAAAGTAAGGAGGGGCATGTCCTGGGTCTCTCTCCAGACTCATTAGCATGCTCCACAAAGTTAATGAGACCGAGCACCACGGTGTCCCCACACCACTACCGAACTCCTGGTACTTCCCACACTCCTTGTGTAACTGATTGAACCCACAAGCTAAGCCACATCCCCTTTGGGCTCTCGAGGAGGTTTCTCGCTTTCCACTCCCCTCCTTTATAATGCTGCTCCCCTTCCCCATCCCCGCGTGTGTCTAGAGCTGCCAAAAAGGTACTCCTTCTTGGGAGGTTTCCCACCACTGCCACCCCCCCACCCCCAGTCCTCGACTCAGTGCAGCAGCTCTCTGGGCTACAGACCCAGGATCTCCCGGCTTCCACTCCACCCCAAGGAACTGAAGAAGGGTCGGAAGAAATGGAATCCACCTCAACCATGTTCGATCCCCCCCGCCAAAACCTATTCACGCGTCGGGACCCCCGCCCCCTCAGGAATCGGGACCCTCTTGGGCACACCGGGCTCCTCCCGCACCCTTCGCCTCCAAGCCGGGGGAGCCCGCCCCACCTTCCCAACCAGGCCCCGACCGGCCCCCTCCCACCCCCAAGCCAGGACCCCCGGAGGCCCTCCCCCTCCCGGCCTCCGCCGCCCTCGCGGCCCCCGCGCCGCACCCCCGCCGTAACCGGGCGCCGTCCCGCGCGGTCACCTGCATCCCGCCGCCGCCGTCGGCCACCGCCTCCTCGGTGCGCGGCCGCTTGCTCAGGCCGGGCTCGGCTCCGTCTCCTCCCCCTCCGGGCACCGGCAGCTCCAGCTCCGACTCCCGCTTCATCCCCCGGGCAGCGGCGCCGGGCCCGAGCTGAGGCGGCTGCTGCGGCTGGGCGCCTTCCGCCATCCGCCCGCGCCCCCCTCGCCTCCGGGAGCCGGGCGACCCGCGACAGGCCACCTCCCCCTGGGCCTCGGCCCCGACTGTCGCGACAGGCGGGCGCGCGCCTGCCCCCGCCCCCGCGTGCGTGCGTGCGTGCGCGCGCGCGGGCCCGGCGCCCCTCAGCGGCTGGCGGTGGCCGCTCGTCGCTCGCCGGCGGCTCGCTCGCGGCGGCCGGCGGGTCGCGACGGGCACTCGCTCGCGCCCCCACGCGCACACGCGACCCCGGCCCGGCCCGGCCCGCCGCGCGCCCCGCCTCTCGCACTCACGGAGCTCGCCCGCCGGCCCGCGCTCGCTCCTTCACACTGTCCCTCGCCACACGCCGGGCCGAGGGAGGAAGGGGGCGGTCCGGGCTCCAGAGGAGTGGGGAGGGCTGTTTGTTTGGGGGGGTAGGAGGGGCTCGGGGCCGGAACGAGCTGACTGGCCGGGAGCCTCCGACCCGCCACTGTGGCAACCCCGGGAAGGCGGGCGGAGAGAAAGGAGGAGGGAGGGACCGGGATCTGGGACTCCTGCCCGCGCGGGAGGCTGTGGCGGGGCGGGGGCGGCGGGGGCGGGGCCAGCGCCCCTCGGCAATCTCCGCCGCCTCCGCTCCGGGCGTCCGAGGGAGGCCGGGAAGAGATCGGGGGAGTTCGGGAATCTCCGGCCCGGGCGAGGGCTTGTCCTGGAGGCGCCGTGCTGCGGGAGTGCCGGCCCGCGCGGAGGAGGCGGAGTCTGCGCTTTAGGGGCGGGGCCACAGCCCAGGGCGGGCGGGGCTTGAGAGGCCCAAGGGCCGGGGAGGGCTAATCTTGCGAAGCTGTGACCTGAGTTCGCCCAGGTGGCCGCGCTGGTTCCAGCCGAGGAAAGAGGAGCTCTGTGGAAGAGGGCTCTTTGCCTGCTCCCCTTCCCGCAGAAGGAAGGGGACCTCGACTTGGAAGGTCCGGGAAAGAAGACACCACTACACGGCTCTCCCCAGTTCTGAAAGACTTTAGTCACAATTATTATCGCATTCCTGATCATCTTAATAACACCTGACGTTTGTAAGAGCTTTACAGTTCGCACGAGGCGTTCACAGACCCCTTTTGAAGCTGTTGGTATAGGCAGAGTAAATACCATGACCTCCGTTTCATTGATGAAGAACCTGAGGCTTAGTGAACTAAGTACTGTAGCTAAAAAGTGGCAGATCCAGAGCTCAGGACACCAGATCGTATTCTCTGCACCTTGCTGCCTGTGCAGCACTTTATTGCTTCACAACGTCGTGCAACTGGAGATGTATGTGCAGTAGCTTTTCTCTCCTACCAGATGGTAAGGAGCAAGACCTTATCTACTTCCTCTGAGTGCCACATATGCTCTGTACATTATAGGGACGTGGTGATGCTGCGTGAATGACCTGGATTCTGCTACCTAGCTTAACCAAATTACTTCATTTCTTTGGACCCCTGCTCCATCATTTGTAAAATGAGGAGATGGTTTAGTCAGTGGTTGGCAACCAGGGCGATTTTGCCCCTTCCCCTCTCTCCCAGGACATTTGTCAACATCTGGAGACATATTTGTTTGTTACAACTGGGGGAGGCGCGGTGAATCTGGTATCTAGTGGGTAGAGGCCAGGAACGTTGTTCAACATCCTGCTAAGAACAGAACAGTCCCCACAATACTTATCCAGCCCAAAATGTCAATAATGCTGAGGTTGAGAAACCCTGGGTTAGATGATTTCTAAGGTCATTTCCAGATAGGTCTATGATTTGTCCTTTGAACTTGGGTTTTAACCTGGCTTGTGCTAGAACAGTACAGTGGTAAAGATCCCTTGCTTTGGAATCAGACCAACACAAATTTGAATCCAAGCTTTACCACCTACTACCCATGGGATGTTGAGCCAGTGATGACTTAAGAATTTCTATACAGAAGGGATTTAGGGCCTGCACACTGCTTGTAAGGGAAGACTGAAGATATTGCCTTGAAGCTGAGTTTTCCTAGCAAGCACATTTTTTTTAATCTAAACTGTGTTATAGATCAATAAAAATAGCCAAGTTTTAGCTCTGCCACTTAAAAGTCACGTTTGCCTTGTAAAAACTGCCTAGCCTCCTATGCCTCACTTTCTTCATCTAAAAATTAAGATAACAATAGTACTTCCCTGGGACGCCTGGGTGGTTCAGTCAGTTAAGCATCTGCTTCAGCTCAGGTCATGATCCGAGGGTCCTGGGATAGAGCCCCGCATTAGGCTCCCTGCTCAACGGGGAGCCTGCTTCTCCCTCTGCCTGCTGCTCCCCCTGCTTGTGCTCTCTCTCTCTCTCTGACAAATAAAATCTTTAAAAAAATAATAGTAGTACCTCCCTGAAGGGATTATTGTGAGTCTTAAAGGAGTTATCACATATTAAGAACTTCAAACAAATTGCCCCGAAACTGAGCACTCAATAAATGTTAACTATTATTATTACTATTACTATGATCATTCTATTCACATTTTAAATGAGAGTGAAAAAAAGTTCATTATCAAGATCAAAGACTATCAGTATGACTACTATGGGTTTTTAAAATTTACATCAGATGGGTTCAGTGCAGCTGCTAGAGATTAAGATAGGCAGACAGAGTTCTCCAAATCACCCCTTGGTGCAACCACTATGTTGGGCAAATCATTTTTCACTCAGCCTTATATTCCTTGTTTGTAAGATGACAATGACAGTTGTAGTGTTGTTCTAAGGATTAAATGAGACAAAATAACACACTTAGCACAGCGCTTAACATATAGCAACTGCTTAACAAGTGGTAAATATTTGTCATCCAATTTGTTTAGTGATTGTAAGCTACTGGCTAGGGGCCCATGGGCTGGGAAGAGAAGCCCAGCATCTCTTAATACTGCTACTTGGGCAGTATTAAGGATTCCGTTAAGTTGGAAGTCCAAATGCCTGCAAGCCTATTCTTGAGCTGAATTAGGCAGCCCTAATCTAAGTCAGGGGTCCCCATTGGCAGCACCCCCACAGCCGATGGGGTTTGAACCTGTCCAACCAAGTGTTATGGCTTTGAAGAAAAATCAGGAAATTTCCTTGTGACCTATGGAACAATGATTTTTTTTTTTTTTAACCTAGGGACATCAGTGGTTGGCTTTCTGAAAATTTTACCTTCCAAACTGGTATCTTAAAAATTCTCCTCCTGTCCCTACCTGCCTTGCCAAAATACTGGAATCCAAATGATGCTAGCTAGGTCCTTCCTGGCCTGCTCCATGACCCAGCAAGAAATGAGATTTGGGATCAGGGCTGCTTGTGACTCAAATCAGTGTTATTTAATTAGCGCACATGTCCCTAAGAAATAAGAGTGATGTACTATAGGAATGTTTGAATGACCAAGCAGAACAAAGAGAAAATGGACCCTGCCCTGTAAATAAGCATGAAGCATTTAGGGAGAGAGAGACTAGAAGCCTGCAACTAGCAGAAGAGGCCAGAGGCACCCATGGTGACACAGAGACCAGATTCTCTCTTGCATGTCACATCAACAGCTACCTGTCTGGGAAAAGGTTATAAAACATCACAGAGGAAGAGGACAATTAAAGAATATTTTCCTAGAAAGAATTTTTAGCTGCAGAAATTACTGAAGTCCTAACATTTATTCATTTATCCACTTAACAAACTATGGGCAGGAGTCTGGGAAATACCAAGGTGAGTAGAACTGATTCCTGTAAAAAGACAACCGTAACACATCGTGCTAAGGAGGTCATCTCTCACAGCAGTTAAGGACATGGTCTCTGGGTTGGAATCTGCCTCGGCCACATATCTGACCTTGGACAAGACCCTGAGCATCTCTGATGCCAACTTTCTTCACTTGTGTGACAAGTATGGGTAGTTTCTAATCCAATATCCATCCTCCACTTCCTCCTTATTAGCACAACCCCAGCTGTGTTCAGAGCAGAAACCTGCCCAGCTTTAAAAAGAAAAAAAGAAATGTAGAATTCTCGGGCTCCCTGGTAGCTAAGGGTGGCCACATAACACAGTTCTGGCCAGCAAGAGGTAGGTAAGGGATGGTGTCCTTTCCCAACCAATAAGACAAAACTCCAGGAAGAAGAGGCTCTTTGCCCTTCATCCTTGGCTGTTTACCCTTCCTCCTGCCTGGAACACAGATTGGAAAACAGCAGATGCGTTGTCTCCACAGTGACAAAAGCCACATGCTAAGAATGGTATTATGGGGCCACCATAGCAGCCTTAGCCCATCTACCTCTAATTTATTGTTATTTGAGCAAAATAAGTTCCTGTTCGGTTAAGCCACTGTGAACAGTTTTCTACCTGCAGCCAAACTTAACGCCTAATTCATGTAATCTATAAACTGAGGATAATAATAGTGTCTCCCCATAGGGTTCTTCTGAGCATTAAATAATGCATGCAAAGCACTTAACATGACACCTGGCTCATAGATACGCTCAGCAAATGGTAACTTAAACCTTTTTACTACTATTATTACTCCTATTATCCTTATTAATATGATTATTATATGTACCAGCAGCTCTAGGATCATAGAGGAAGATGGAACTCCTCCTGCCTAGGGGGAGGTAGGACAAGCTTCACTGAGAATGTTATGTTTCATGTGGGTCTTTAAAAGTGAGGAGGAGGAGTTTCCCAGGATATGGGTTCTGATCAAAAGTGAGCAAATTCTTTTGTGCCTGCAAGGGCTTAGGAGGGATTCAGTACTGTTCACCAAGAGAAACATTCTGCTAGGAGATAATAGCACTGAAGTTGGGGTCAGATCACTGGGACTGGAGTCAGTCCCGGCTGTGGTCCTCAAACAGAGACTGGAAGAGCTAAGTGGGTACCTGAGCACCTGGCCACAGGGCTATTGTGGGGCCATAGGAAATGCAATAGTCCCCCCTTATCTATGGTTTTGCTTTCCACCAGTTCAGAAACCCATGGCCCGGAAGCAGATGATCCCCTTTCTGAGACGTTGTCAGAAAGTCATAGTAGCCTGATGCTACATCACAACACCTACGTCATTCATCCTTCACCACACTTCATC